TCGAGTGTGTGTGTGTCCCCTCGAGTGTGTGTGTGTCCCCTCGGTTGTGTCCCCTCGTGTGTGCGTCCCTCGTGTGTGTCCCCTCGAGTGTGTTTGTTCCCTAGGGTGTGTCCCCTCGTGTGTGTGTCCCCTCGGATGTGTTCCCTCGTGTGTGTGTCCCCTCGGATGTGTCCCCTCGGGTGTTTCCCCTCGTGTGTGTCTCCTCGGGTGTGTGTGTGTCCCCTCGTGTGTGTGTCCCCTCATGTGTGTCCCCTCGTGTGTGTGTCCCCTCATGTGTGTGTCTCCTCGTGTCTGTGTTTCCCCTCGTGTGTGTCTCCTCGGGTGTGTCCCCTCGTGTGTGTCCCCTCGTGTGTGTCTCCTCGGGTGTGTCCCCTCGTGTGTGTCCCCTCGTGTGTGTCCCCTCGTGTGTGTCCCCTCGTGTGTGTCTCCTCGGGTGTGTCCCTTCGTGTGTGTGTCCCCTTGTGTGTGTCCCCTCGTGTGTGTCCCCTCGTTTGTGTCCCCTCGAGTGTCCCCTGATGTGTGTGTCCCCTCGTGTGTAACCCCTCGTGTGTCTCCCCTCGTGTGTGTGTCCTCGGGAGTGTCCACTCGTGTTTGTCCCCTCGTATGTGTGTCCCCTCGTGTGTGTGTCCCCTCGTGTGTGTCTCCTCGTGTGATTCCCCTCGTGTGTGTCCTTTCGTGTGTGTCCCCTCGTGTGTGTCCCCTCGTGTGTGTCTCCTCGGGTGTGTCCGCTCGTGTGTTTCCCCTCGTGTGTGTGCCCCCTCGTGTGTACTCACCTAATTGTGCTTGCGGGGGTTGAGCTCTGGCTCTTTGGTCCCGCCTGACACACACACACGAGGGGACACACACACGAGGGGGCACACACACGAGGGGACACACACGAGGGGACACACACACGAGGGGACACACCCGAGGAGACACACCCGAGGGGACACACCCGAGGGGACACACACGAAGGGACACACACGAGAGGACACACACGGCTCTTGTACCCTGTGTGTGTTCCCTCGTGTGTGTCCCCTCGTGTGTGTGTCCCCTCGTGTGTGTCCATTCGTGTGTGTGTCCCTTCGTGTGTGTGCCCCCACGTGTGTCTGTCCCCCTTCGTGTGTGTTTCCCCTCGTGTGTGTCCCCTCGTGTGTGTGCCCCCTCGTGTGTGTGTCCCCTCGTGTGTGTGTCCCCTCGTGTGTGTGTCCCCTCGTGTGTGTGTCCCCTCGTGTGTGTGTCCCCTCGTGTGTGTCCCCTCGTGTGTGTGCCTCCTCGTGTGTGTGTCCCCTGTTGTGTGTGTCCCCTCGTGTGTGTCCATTCGTGAGTGTGTCCCCTCGTGTGTGTGTCCCCCTCGTGTGTGTGTCCCCTCGTGTGTGTGCCCCCTCGTGTGTACTCACCTAATTGTGCTTGCGGGGGTTGAGCTCTGGCTCTTTGGTCCCGCCTGACACACACACACGAGGGGACACACACGAGGGGACACACACACGAGGGGACACACCCGAGGAGACACACACGAGGGGACACACCCGAGGGGACACACACGAAGGGACACACACGAGAGGACACACACGGCTCTTGTACCCTGTGTGTGTGTGTGTCCCTTCGTGTGTGTCCCCTCGTGTGTGTGTCCCCTCGTGTGTGTCCATTCTTGTGTGTGTCCCTTCGTGTGTGTGCCCCCACGTGTGTCTGTCCCCCTTCGTGTGTGTTTCCCCTCGTGTGTGTCCCCTCGTGTGTGTGCCCCCTCGTGTGTGTGTCCCCTCGTGTGTGTGTCCCCTCGTGTGTGTCCCCTCGTGTGTGTGCCTCCTCGTGTGTGTGTCCCCTGTTGTGTGTGTCCCCTCGTGTGTGTCCATTCGTGACTGTGTCCCCTCGTGTGTGTGTCCCCCCTCGTGTGTGTGTCCCCTCGTGTGTGTCCCCTCGTGTGTGTGCCCCCTCGTGTGTGTGTCCCCTCGTGTGTGTGTCCCCTCATGTGTGTCCATTCGTGTGTGTTCCCCCTCGTGTGTGTGTCCCCTCGTGTGTGTGTCACCTCGTGTGTGTGTCTCCTCGTGTGTATCCCCTCGTGTGTGTGTCCCCTCATGTGTGTCCCCTCGTGTGTGTCCTCTCGTGTGTGTCCCCTCGTGTGTGTCCCCTCGTGTGTGTCCCCTCGTGTGTGTTTGTGTTCCATCTTGTGTGTCCCTTCGTGTGTGTTTGTGTCCCCTCGTGTGTGTCCCCTCGTGTGTGTGTCCCCTCGTGTATGTCCCCTCGTGTGTGTCTCCTCGTGTGTGTCCCCTCGTGTGTGTCCCCTCGTGTGTGTGTTCCCTCGTATGTGTGTCCCCTCGTGTGTGTGTCTCCTCGTGTGTATCCCCTCGTGTGTGTCCCCTCGTGTGTGTGTCCCCTCATGTGTGTGTCCCTTTATGTGTGTCCTCTAGTGTGTGTCCCCTCGTGTATGTCCCCTCGTGTGTGTCCCCTCGTGTGTGTCCCCTCGTGTGTGTCCCCTCGTGTGTGTCCCTTCGTGTGTGTCCCCTCGTGTGTGTCCCCTTGTGTGTGTCCCCTCGTGTGTGAGTGTGTCCCCTCGTGTGTGTCCCCTCGTGTGTCCCCTCGTGTGTGTCCCCTTGTGTGTGTCCCCTCGTGTGTGTCCCCTCGTGTGTGTGTGTGTCCCCTCGTGTGTGTGTCCTCTCGTGTGTGTGTGTGTGTCCCCTCGTGTGTGTGTTCCTCGTGTGTGTGTCCCCTCGTATGTGTGTATGTGCTCTCGTGTGTGTGTGTGTCCCCTCGTGTGTGTCCCCTCGTGTGTGTCCCCTTGTGTGTGTCCCCTCGTGTGTGTCCCCTCGTGTGTGTGTGTCCCCTCGTGTGTGTCCCCTCGTGTGTCCCCTCGTGTGTGTCCCCTCGTGTGTGTCCCCTCGTGTGTGTGTGTCCCCTCGTGTGTGTGTATGTCCTCTCGTGTGTGTGTGTGTGTCCCTCGTGTACTCACCTATTTGTACTCACCTATTTGTGCTTGCGGGGGTTGAGCTTTGGCTCTTTGGTCCCGCCTCTCAACTGTCAATCAACTGGTGAATGTCCTCTCGTGTGTGTCCCTTCATGTGTGTCCCCTCTTGTGTGTCCCTTCGTGTGTGTCCCCTCGTGTGTGTCCCCTTGTGTGTGTCCCCTCGTGTGTGTCCCTTCGTGTGTGTCCCCTCGTGTGTGTCCCCTTGTGTGTGTCCCCTCGTGTGTGTGTCCCTTGTGTGTGTCCCTTCATGTGTGTCCCCTTGTGTGTGTCCCCTTGTGTGTGTCCCCTCGTGTGTGTGTCCCTTCATGTGTGTCCCCTCTTGTGTGTCCCCTCGTGTGTGTCCCCTCGTGTGTGTCCCTTCGGGTGTGTCCCCTCGTGAGTGTCCCCTCGTGTGTGTCTCCTCGTGTGTGTCTCCTCGTGTACTCACCTAGTTGTACTCACCTAGTTGTGCTTGCGGGGGTTGAGCTCTGGCTCTTTGGTCCCGCCTCTCAACTGTCAATCAACAGGTGTACAGATTCCTGAGCCTATTGGGCTCTATCATATCTACACTTGAAACTGTGTATGGAGTCAGCCTCCACCACATCGCTTCCTAATGCATTCCATTTGTCTACCACTCTGACACTAAAAATGTACTTTCTAATAGTTCTGTGGCTCATTTGGGCACTCAGTTTCCATCTGTGTCCCCTAGTGCGTGTGCCCCTTGTGTTAAACAGCCTGTTTTTATCAACCCTGTCGATTCCCTTGAGAATCTTGAATGTAGTGATCATGTCCCCCCTAACTCTTCTGTCTTCCAACGAAGTGAGGTTTAATTCCCGTAGTCTCTCCTCGTAGCTCATACCTCTCAGCTCGGGTACTAGTCTGGTGGTAAACCTTTGAACCTTTTCCAGTTTAGTCTTATGCTTGACTAGATATGGACTCCATGCTGGAGCCGCATACTCCAGGATTGGTCTGACATATGTGGTATATAATGTTCTGAAAGATTCCTTACACAAGTTTCTAAAGGCCGTTCTTATGTTAGCCAACCTGGCATATGCTGCTGATGTTATCCTCTTGATATGAGCTTCAGGGGACAGGTCTGGCGTGATATCAAACCCCAGGTCTTTCTCTGACTCTTGAAGTATTTCATCTCCAAAATTGTACCTTGTATCTGGTCTCCTGCTTCCTACCCCTATCTTCATTACATTACATTTGCTTGGGTTAAACTCTAACAGCCATTTGTTCGACCATTCCTGCAGCTTGTCCAGGTCTTCTTGAAGCCTCAAGCTGTCCTCCTCTGTCTTAATCCTTCTCATAATTTTGGCGTCGTCAGCAAACATTGAGAGGAATGAGTCTATACCCTCTGGGAGATCATTTACGTATATCAGAAACAGGATAGGTCCAAGTACAAAGGGTATATATAGGGTATTCGTGTGTGTGTCCCCTCGTGTGTGTCCCCTCGTGTGTGTGTCCCCTCGTGTGTGTCCCCTCGTGTGTCCCCTCGTGTGTCCCCTCGTGTGTGTGTCCCCTCGTGTGTGTCCCTTCGTGTGTGTCCTCTAGGGTGTGTCCCCTTGTGTGTGTCCCCTCGTGTGTGTTCCCTCGTGTGTGTGTCCCCTCATGTGTGTCCCATCGTGTGTCTGTCCCCTCGTGTGTGTCCCCTCGTGTGTGTGTCCCCTCGTGTGTGTGTCCCCTCGTGTGTGTCCCCTCGTGTGTGTGTGTCCCCTCGTGTGTGTGTGTCCCCTCCTGTGTGTCCCCTCGTGTGTGTCCTCTAGGGTGTGTCCCCTCCTGTGTGTCCCCTCGTGTGTGTCCCCTCGTCCTGGTGCCAGTTGAGTGTGCACCTGACTGTTAATGAGACAATGAGACAGTCCTGCACCAACAGTTCGGTGACTTCAAGAGTGTTCTGTCCACTTTGAAATGAATCCCGAACATTACTAAAGTATAATATATCATTTATGTTAAGAAAACACTTTCAATACTTTTAGCTGTAAATATATAATGGCGAGCATGGATTGCCGGCTCATATAACCTATGGATGTTCCAGTGAACTGTTGTGGTGTGCAAACTGAGCGCTTCAACCTGCAAGGTTTTTGTGTCCCTTCCGTCAGGCGTGTTGCGGCACCTGCACTCCCTGGCGGCCCTCAACCTGGAGGACAACCTGCTGCAGGAGCTCCACTATGACGACTTCCTGGGCCTCAACGACACACTAAACTCACTCTCCCTTCTCAACAACCGACTCACACGCTTCCCAACCCGTGCTCTGAGCACTCTGACCCAGCTCAAGGTGAGTACACAACGCAGCATGTACACAATGCTGAAGCAGAGACGACTGCGCTGGCTCGGGCACGCGGTGGGCATGGGCGACGGCAGCATCCCCAAGGATCTCCTGTATGGAGAGTAAAGTGTTTATGACTTCAATGTTGGCTGTCATTGTCATGTCGCTGACAATGTCATTGTCGCTGACAATGTCATTGTCGCTGACAATGTCATTGTCGCTGACAATGACATTGTCGCTGACAATGTCATTGCTGTTGCTGCATTATGGTTACTATATCTTCTTCATTGTTCTAGCTCTAAATACTTTCTTAATCTGTGTTAAACTGTGTAATGTAAATGTCTACATTCCTCCACTTAGTTACAAGTCTTGCAGCTTGGACGGCAATGTCATTCCTTGGTATTCTAACATGACTTGTCAACCAGTTGATAAGTATTCAACGACCCTGACGCTTGAATGTTTCTATGAATACCATAATACTTGTCACGTGTATATTATCATGTTAGTGCTTTAGTTGCAAGGTTTCAGTTGCAGTTCTGGAATATGTATGTATGGTGACCCGTCGTCGGGGTTCAGCAAGAGCATGTTGCAAAACATTTTGAATGGCTGGCATCTCTGTTGGTAAAGTTGAGCACCCATTTGGGAGTCTGCAACTAACTGAATCATTCCCGCCTTTGCTTCAGCTTCGGAGTCGTGTCTCTCTTGTTTTTTTTGGTCTCGCTTCTTGCAGGTCGGCGTTTAATCCCCGACCGTCCAAGTGGTTGGGCATCATTCCTTCCCCCCGTCCCATCCCAATTCCTTATCCTGACCCCTTTCCTAGTGCTATATAGTCGCTTTCCCACAATCGTTCCCTTCCCTTCTCTTGCTTTAATGATCCATCTGTGAAGTGTGTGAAGCTGTCAGATATCAAGTTTGCTTCTATGATAGTGTGAGCAGTGATGGTCAGCAGATGTGGGTTAGGAGGCCTGGTCGACGACCGGGCCGCGGGGACGCTAAGCCCCGGAAGCACCTCAAGGTAACCTCAAGGTAGTCTGACTCTTTCTCCCTTGAAGCGTCATAATCATAGTCAGAAGGTAACCAATCACACGGGACTTGCATAACGAAATATACATGTAGTCCGTCGACATCTTTCTCAGTGATTATTCACGATCTCAAATATTTGAGATGAGAGACTGGGCCGCCAGTGTGTGACAGTGTGGTCTGCTGTCATAGTCACCTGGGGCTCGTAGCCTGGTGGATAGCGCGCAGGACTCGTAATTCTGTGGCGCGGGTTCGATTCCCGCACGAGGCAGAAACAAATGGGCAAAGTTTCTTTCACCCTGAATGCCCCTGTTACCTAGCAGTAAATAGGTACCTGGGAGTTAGTCAGCTGTCACGGGCTGCTTCCTGGGGGTGGAGGCCTGGTCGAGGACCGGGCCGCGGGGACACTAAAGCCCCGAAATCATCTCAAGATAACCTCAAGATAACCTGAGGACTACATCATCACTGCCACTGAGAAGGCCTAGTCGAGGACCGGGCCGCGGGGACGCTAAGCCCCGAAATCATCGCAAGGTACCCTGCCTCCACTGGTTGAGCCAACATTAATCGCATGTGGCTAGTGGCGTTAGTAGTTGGTTATTCAAGTACTGGCTGATACAATAATGACCACCATCGCTCACGGGCAGTGTTAGTACCAGTCGTCCTGCTGAGTGGTACCCCGGGCTCCTCGGCCACGCTCTCTTCTCTACATCAACATCTTGCCAACACCACGTGTCTGCGTCAGGTCGGCCTCGTAGACACCGACACCACGTGTCTGCGTCAGGTCGGCCTCGTAGACACCGACACCACATGTCTGCGTCAGGTCGGCCTCGTAGACACCGACACCACGTGTCTGCGTCAGGTCGGCCTCGTAGACACCGACACCACATGTCTGCGTCAGGTCGGCCTCGTAGACACCGACACCACGTGTCTGCGTCAGGTCGGCCTCGTAGACACCGACACCACGTGTCTGCGTCAGGTCGGCCTCGTAGACTTGATGATTACTTTCATTCCCGTTGAGCCGGGGACGACAAAGGGTGTCCGTGACCTCTGACCTCCGTCTGAAGGCCAGAACAAAGACAAAGAAGTGGCAAGACTGGACGTCAACTGGTCCTCCACTCTCTCCTGACTGTTCTACGTCGTCCAGGAAGGTTTCCTGCCGCTCCTCTTGTGGTCACAGTACTGTTCTTCTCCTCTCTTGGCTTAACTGCCCACACGAAATCGCTGAACTGGCGAATTTTTCACAGAGTGCTAGCGGTTGTCACCACCATCAGTGGTGGTTGTTGTGTCACCACCATCAGTGGTGGTTGTTGTGTTACCACCATCAGTGGTGGTTGTTGTGTCACCACCATCAGTGGTGGTTGTTGTGTCACCACCATCAGTGGTGGTTGTTGTGTTACCACCATCAGTGGTGGTTGTTGTGTTACCACCATCAGTGGTGGTTGTTGTGTTACCACCATCAGTGGTGGTTGTGGTGTCACCACCATCAGTGGTGGTTGTGGTGTTACCACCATCAGTGGTGGTTGTTGTGTTACCACCATCAGTGGTGGTTGTGGTGTGACCACCATCAGTGGTGGTTGTGGTGTCACCACCATCAGTGGTGGTTGTGGTGGTGTTAGTAGTAGTGGGATTGAAGCCTTAGTTGAAAGTAAACATTTTCGGGTTCAGTTTCAGTTGTGTCACGCGGTAGTCGGTAAAGTTTTTTCAGTTTTAGTTTCAGCTTTTGTCTTAACGAATTCTTATGGGGAAAATTCAGGACGAAACTTACTGCTGTGTTCTAAAAGTATTCTTATGGGAGAAACTAATTTTCTTCAGAGTTTAGTTTAATTATGAGGCCCGGTACACGTGCACCGAAACTTCCTCAAATACACTCAATATTTTGTGTGAATAATCTACATGGTAAGTGCTCCATTTTTTCCTAATGGATTAACATCATACCATGAAAAAAACAGAAAACAAAAAAGAAAAGAAAACGAAAAATAATCACAATTTTAAATAACTAAAAATATCTTATGTCACCTATTGTTATTCTATTCCTTATGGTCAGAGAATGGCATAACGTTCATGTTCCTTTGGGAAAATTATTGTTTAAGTGTATATTATATTGTAAAACATTTTATGAATGTGGCCATCCAAATATTTGCCAGATTTATCAGCAAAATATTTATAATTCCAATCGTTATGACTATATGACTAAACGATTCAATGGAAACCTTAGAATTTATAACTTAGCACATAATATATAAAACTGGTGAGAATCAGTCAGAAACTGAATTTTTAGTTAGGTCTCAAAGTTGAAATTCCTGTTTTAGAGATAATTGAAGTGAAGTTATTGACAATGAACATGGGTAGTTCTATTTAATGAATTTTCTTGTATGTTTTAATAAACATTGCTTGGCATTCGTACTCGAATAAGTGAAAGTTGGTGCTCAATATTGTGTTTCACGACGCTAATGCCAAATAACAGGAGATTTGTTTAAATTTGTTCACTATTTTTCATACTTTGAAAAATACTCCTCGTGCACCGGGCCCCTTAAAACCAAATCTTTTTAGAATTTAGTTTTGGATCGATTTTTTCAGAGTCCAGTTTAAGACCAAAATTTGTCAGAGACTAGTTTAGGACCGAATTTTTGTCAGGGTTTTACAGTTTAAGACTGAATTTTTCAGAGTTTTTCAGAGTTTAATTTAAGATCGAAAGAGTTCAGTTTTAGGACATTTTTTATTTTCTATTTATTCATATATACAAGAGTTCTTACATTCTTGTACAGCCACTAGCACGGAGAGCGTTTCAGGCAAGTCCTTAATCCTAATTTTTCCTGGAATACGATCCTCTGAATGGTTTAACAACCAGGTACCCCTTCACTGCTGGGTGAATAGAGGCTACAGTTAAGGATTAGCATCAGGTAAGTCCTCCCCGGCCAGGATACAAACCCAGGCCAAACACTCGCGAAACGCCAGACAAGTGTGTTACCACTTTGCCACAGGGGGCTGCGATTTCAAATATTTCATAGTTTCCCATTTGCAGAGAATAGTTTTATTAGGTGTTTTGTTAAAGAAATCATATAAGGGGGAAATATATACTCTATAACTATTTAAAACTGAATTTTTGTTGCAGAGTTTCACAAGTCGTTATTTTTCAGAGTTCCGAGAGAAATTTCGGAATTTCGGAATTTCAGAGTTCTTATTGAGAAAGTAAAGTCTACGGACATTTATATAAAGGTTTATATAAAGGCAGATATTTATAAAAAGGTTCATCTTATATTAGTTCTTAGACCATGAGCTATTAATTTTCCAAGTACTGACACCTGCGGTTTTAAAGAAATCCTAAAAAAAAAAAAAACGCTACGGACTTATGTTCCCATTTTCGAAAACGTAAATCACAGTATCAGATGTTTGTTCTTGGACTCCACTCTATTCGTTTATAAGAGAAGTTTCGCTACTAGTAACTCAATTTTAGCCCAATTTAAAACAGTCATACTTCAAACGTAGTAAAAAAAATAATGTTACCGACCTCCAGCTCTCGTCCCCCACCTTAGTTTACTCCCGTAGATTCTATACCGTCGGTCCAATTTCCCCTGAAATTTAATCCAGTTATATTTTTATATTTCTGTCATAGTAAATAAGATTGGGTTCGTATCCTGGCCGGGGAGGATTTACTGGGCGCAATTCCTTAACTGTAGCCTCTGTTTAACGCAACAGTAAAATGTGTACTTGGTTGTAACAACGATTCTTCGCGGCGGGGATCGTATTCCAGGGACCTGCCCGAAACGCTACGCGTACTAGTGGCTGTACAAGAATGTAACAACTCTTGTATATATCTAAAAAAAAAAAAAAAAAAAAAAAAAAAAAAAAAAAAAAAAAAAAAAAAAAAAAGATGAAGGCAGTAACTAAGTTCTAGCTCCTGGCCTCACCTTAGCTCCCTCGCGAATTTTTGTTAGTCCCTGATCAGTTTTCCTGAGATTTTAAACTTAGTAAAATAAATCAAAGCAGTT